CCTTTATGTATTGCGGTACAATAGCGGAGGTGTTTTACCATCTCTAGCTGACATGTATAATGATGATGATGGCCTCCAAAATGTCCATGGCAACATTGGCCCAAGTCGGAGAAGCCTGTATAACTAGGAAATGCTAGTCCGAGACGGTGCGCGAAATTAAACGCGGATATCCGAGGGCAGTTGGAGTCGGGCACAGAGGACTGTATTCGATGGGGATAATGCGAGACAATAGCAAACACGTGAGCGTGGGAACTTACAAGACGGTCAAGTGTCGAGCCTGATGTAAGTCAACGTGGATGTAATGTAAGCGATATTAAAACCAGCAAGAATAGTGTGCAGTTGGTCATCGGTGAAATTGTACACAAAAGATAATAGTTATCTTTTAGAGCCCTATAAGCCCTGGCACGGAATCCACTTGGATTATGCGGGACCAGTCAACGGTCTAATTCGTTTTTTGTTTATTGTTGCACAGGATTTCTCGACGGGATTCCAATGCAAAATCCCACCGCGCAGCACACAATCAATGAGCTAAACCAACTGTTCCAGTATTTTGGCACACCGGAGATGGTGGTTGCGGGCAACAGAGCATTGTTCACATCAACGCTCTTCCGAGAATTTGGTTGCAAAACAGAATCCAACGAAAGTTTTCGCCGCCGTACCATCCACAATCGAATTTGCAGGTCGAACGGTTTTCGGTACCTTTAAACGTGCTCTTCTCAAAGCGGAAGGAACGGGGGTGTCACTAAATGTAATTCTGCCGTTTTTGAGACTGTATCGAAACACTCCGGATCCAAACACACTGGAGGGCAATTCTCCTGCTGAATGTCTATTTGTACGAAAACTTAGAACCATATTTGATAGCTTGATCCCCAGAAATGTTGGAAAACGCAACAGACATACGAGAGAGGAGCCGGATTATAGGCTTCGTAGGTTCAATATGGGCGACTTGGCGTATGCACGAGACTTCCATACTCCGGATAGATGGTCTGGCGGAACGGTTACAGGTAAGAGGGGTAAGGTTATTTATGTGATAATAGTCAGAAATGGCAAGTGGACCAGGTACGTCAATAATCTACGACTGCGGCATGGAAACACTTAAGGATGTCAACATTCAGCAGCACCAAAGTGGGAAATAGTACTGGACACGTTTGGTTTGGAAAACAGAACTGATTCCCAAAGCGGAACACAGCCGGTCGCTCGGGCGCCACACGGCTTATCATGCACGCCAAATCGAAGACAGACAAGTGAATCACAGAGCAAAAAGCTACAATCAAGCCCAAGTGCGGAAAATAGGTTGGAGCAATCATTTTGAAGGGCGGAGGTAATAGAGACGTATGCGAAGCTGGATTTTGGAATCGAGCGAAAATTTATCGGCCAGCAATATACCAGACGGTGTCAAAGGAATCGAACTATTCCGTCAATATAATAAACCCGTGGAGCGGAACTCACACTGGCTGAAAACCAGACGCAGCATAAAGTCAGTGCGTTGATGCAATCCACGTCAACGGTTCTGGAAAACTATAAATTGCTACATAAGTCTTTCGTTTTTCAAATGCCCCGATCAAAAAGACTATTTTTGGTGGTGTAATTAGAGTCAGCTGCCGTAATTATGCAGATTTTCGCCTGTCAATTAACAATGTATTAGACATATTTCGATTAGCTCGATGCTATCGCCGTCCATTCTGCTTCGTAGACAATCATTAATTCGGTTACTTCAGTATTGGGAGGAACAAGCTGGTTTCCTTACTGGCCGTGGATGTGTGGATCAAATCTTCACGTTCCGGTAACCTATGAACATCACCACTTCTACCAGCCAGCGGTTTGTGACCGTATGCTGTTGACATGGTATAAATGCCTTCACTCTGAATGTTGGTGTATGTAGTTTAGGTTTTACGCTAAGTACCTTTTTATTTCCTTCGTACTATTCTTCGTTCTGTAAATCATTGTGTTTGTATGGTAGCGAAGCATCAGTTCTTTTCTGACGTACTGCAGGACGCTATCGTCCATCTCGTCAATTCTTTGCTGCTTGTTGCGCGACCATTTTGCAACACGCCCCTGACCATATCAAGCAGATTTTAGTGTTTTCCATTGGTTTGACAAATGAGGTTTCCCAAACATGGAACTTATGCGTCTAGTGAAACAATAACTACACTATCCTCTTGAAGGAAGTATGAAACCAGGAGACAGTTGAAAACTTGTTAATTGTCTGCCCCGTGGGCACCTTTTTATGAAAACTTTCACGCTTGACTATAAACATGATGTACTGTATGATGTAGTCGCAAGACTGATATACGAAAGGGGAATGGAACGTTGGGAACCATCACACTTGGGTCCACAGAATCTGGAATGGCCGCTTTCGTCGTTTTTTCCTTCCCGTATTTTCCTTAATCTCCACTTTATTATCATATTGCAGCTGCTTCATGTTATGAGTGGTATATTTCTCGACTGAGCGGGATGCAGTCCAACTAAGTGTTCTGTTCAATTTGATCGCAAAAGACAATTATTTGTACACTTTTTCCAAAACATTCTCCAAATAAGTTTCACGGGTATTTGAACAGTTAAATATGTTAGAAAGATGGAGGCGTTCAGAGCAGAATAAAAGTTATTGCAATATTTTCAGGCAAGGCAGTACGGCTATCCGTGTAACCGTCTTCTGCGGACGCGCTCCCATTCGAGCCAGTCCCTCTAAAGGTTTCATCCGCACTTCCACCTTCCATCTGGATTTTGTGCCTGTGTGGCATAAGAGCAATTTAGGCATTAGCTCAGCTTTAAGGCCATTATTTTGTATAGAGAGAAATAGGTCCTCTTCTTTATTGTTTTAAGCCAATCAGTCTGTTTCAATATCCGATTCATTCCAGTCCGGCACTTGTGTTACTCGCCAGTGGACCTGAGGCAATTCACCTTGCTTGGGTGTACTGATTACCTTTAAAGCTTCACTCCGTCGCCTCGGGAGATCGGCGCAGTTGTGGCCAAGTGCACAAAAGGAAAAGAATAAAGATAAATAAACATAACGATAAATAGGTGGCATATATCCGACGACTGCTTAAACTTGTACATGTGCATTACAAAAAATAAAACAGTACAAATGTTAGCGAACAAGCTGTTTTCACCGATTCCTCAACAGGCTAATACACCACAAATAAATGACATGAACCTAAACATCAGGTAAGGGTACAGGTTCAGAACCCAGATGGTCTGATTGATTAAGCTAAGTGATTGGCCCCACGGCGATCAAGTGTGTGTGATGTTGTTCACAGTGTCCGTGTTACAGGGGACCAGGGTAGAGTTAGTGCCTGGACAAATTTCTTCTGCGCACATAGGTCAGGGTCGTGAAGCCTGATGGCTATTGCCTCGGCAGCTGCCAGTGGACGACATCTGATCGCTCTTGCGCGGCATCTGGGTACACGGTAGACGGGCTGAAACGCCTCATGCTCTCTGTCCTGGTGGCTCGAATCGACCAGGTGTGTAGACACTGCGCTTGCCACTGATCTAGTCACGCCGCTGTACAGCCAAGCTGGACAGTGTGCCCTGGCTCTCTCGAACAGTCTCCTGGTACTTCTTCCGATATATCTTGATCGACACGATAGCTTCGATTTCGAGCTTGATCCAACGGTTCCTGGTAATCGAATAGAAGAGCGATTGATATCGAAAATTGACTGCGTAGAATTGAAAACTGTTACAAGTATTTTAGTATTTTTCTTCTGGAAAGGAGCGACAGCAGTCAGCAGGACAGAGCTAATGTAAAATATAAAAAACCGTCAAGTTAGCATGACAGAACGAAAGATAACGTGATCTTGTAATGGGCAGAAGCTAATGAAAGTCAACGAAACGAAAATCACACTTTTTAACAGGTTAGACCATAGATCCGTGGTTCTCAACCTTTTTGAGACTGTTACCCTCAAAGCGAGTTCAGTTTAAACAATCGCTCCAAAAATTTTAGTTTTCAAAAGCCCCTTACTTATTAAATATCGCATCCTCTACTTTAAATTACATACGATGAATTCTCTTTTTAATCGCCAACGATCATTTGAATGAAGGGAACATCAGTTTTTGGGCCATTTTTAAATAATAAACAGGTGATGCATATTAGTAGCACGGGTGATTTTGCTTAGTTCTAACAATTTCTGGTATGTATGATGCGGGTTTGGCTATTATACCTCGTAAGTCGGGCTCCAAGTTCATTCGATTACTTGCTTTGGTGTGTGATCCCTGCTGAAACATGAATAGATGTCATTGGATTCTCACATTTGTTTCAAGCATCCCTTCCAAGTTCTTCCTGGATGACAGCTTTTCACCACCACTCTGTATCGGTACGTCCTGAACACTAATTGCTTGCTTTGTCTTTTTTGCCTTGTAAACATTCGCTCGCTCTTTTACCTAGTCGCCTGACATATGCACCCATCTTAGTTTTCACTCAAATCGACCCGGGGAACGATTACCTGACTCAACACAACAATGATCGACGAGCGAGCCAATAGGGGCGCCATGTAGCCGCTCTTCTTTGCAGGCCTGTTTTCGTATTTTAGGTGCTAAAATTTACTTCCGAAAATTGTCTAATTCACTGATCATTCACTAATGATTAGTCACTGATGGCTAATCAATAGTGATAAGGTAGTTACTTACACGTTTTGATTGAGATGACTGTTAATTTTGTTTGGTAGTAGATTGGTGACCCAATCCTCCTACTTATCTTTAGCCCCAGTAAAACTCATTTTACCCCCTCAGAAGTAAGTGCTCCCAGGTTGAGTACCACTGCTATAGATAAAGCCAAATGTTTTATCAACTTGTTGTAATCGTAATACTTCGCTTTTACTTATTTACACTGTTGCGTCCAACTTGCATTAGCTACGTAACACATCAAAAACCAAAACAGTTCGTGCTCAAATGCTATCTGCAAACCATTTTACTCTCCGTGAATTGAGCGAAACCGTCACCTTCCTACTACACTTAGTCTTCTACCTCCTTTAACCGCGGTTCATGACTTTCTTGTGTTCACACAGGCGCATAAACGTGGGGCATTTGGTAGAGGAAAGCAGATACCCGAGTGTTGTCAATATATCTGGAGTCTACTCGCTCACTATGTGCAATGTCGCTGATTTCTCTTCGATTTCGATGTCAGAGCACAGGAATCAGGTTCCGGAACTTGCTAACATCTGGTATCAAATCATCGCACTGGATACTCGTTTTAGCCACATCCGGCCCTGTATGCATGATGATAGTACGAACCGCCAATTGTACCTTCGTCGGCGTCACCAACTTTTTAGAGAACGGTCTAAACTGCTTGATCCAGGAACGGATAATTTTGCCACGTTAACACGAAGGCAGCATTACCACAACCTTCGTGATCACTTGCTTTCGGCCCTTTATGGGAAGTCACCTACATTACAATGTCCCACTTCCAAATCATGTAGCCGTGCGGAGACGACTAGTTTCTCTGGCAGTCTTCAGAACGGCTCCCCTCTGAGCACTTCGGTCCTCGAAGCGTGCAATGTAAGCACACGTTAATTGTTCCGTTCGTCTTCACGATGCTTTTGTAACTTGAGATTCTATTTAGTTGTTTGCAAATTGACCGCTCATAAGTAGCAGGATTTTAGTTGTAAATTAGATAAGGCTTTCATCCCAGCAGTTCACAAGCTACATAGCAGAGCCTAGTCCGGAAAAGCGCCAGACGCGTTTCGCCCTATTGGGGCTCGTCAGTGGCTTAAGCTGCTGGCTAGTTGGCATCTGCCTCTAGCGGTCATGGGTTCGATCCTCATTAGAGGACCGAGGGAATGCGCGCCACTGACGAGCCCCAATAGGGCGAAACGCGTCTGGCGCTTTTCCGGACTAGGCTCTGCTATGTAGCTTGTGAACTGCTGGGATGAAAGCCTTATCAAATTGACCGCTATTGAAGTGTTCCCCGGTATTGTACGCTGTCATAGTAACTTTTCAAGATGGTTTGTCGTATTACCTTCTTTTAATTCCTTGAACCTAACTCAAAGTGATGCCTTATACGCGCTTTACTGATGCAAGTTCTTCAAACCTAACGGCAGCTCAAATGAGTGAGAAATTTATTAAATAAATAAATTGTGTATTTTATATATTCATGAGTAGGGGATTTGGATATAGAAAATTGAGCTTCGTCACAGCCAGCTTCCAAATCAGATAGTCTTCCACAAGCCCGAAAAAGCACTAGACTGCAGTTTCAGCCTGCTGGACATCATCAGTAGTGCGCATCCATCGCATCCATCAGAATCCGAACCCATGACCACCAGCGGCTTGCACCGCCAGTCAGCAGGTTACGCCACCGGGCCACGGAGGACAGCTTCGGACCGTCATGATTCACAAACCAACTGTGATATAGCGCGTCTTATCCTCCGCTGGCATGCAAATTGTAGAGGACAGGAGTGACCCCGAAAGACATGACGTCCACTAACTATTGTATATTTATCTACGGTGCGATACACTGACCAACTGCGTTGTCTGGTCATTATTCACGACATAATCGGATGGTGGAGAACGATTTTTGAATTTTACAATGTAGGTCCCAGAGAGGTTTTGAGCTTTTCAATTATCTAAATGAAATAAAAATGCGGAACGTAGGGCGTAGGGATAACTTTAGGCATAGCCAGTAGTTCTTGTCAAGTAATGCGACCACCTGTGAGACCGTCTCCTGGGGACCTGCATTTCCACACTTCATTTGGTCATGTGCTAACAAACTGTTTTAAATAAATCGTTTATTTCTTGACGAGGCGAGACACAGACCAAATGCGTTGTCTGATCATTATGTATTACATACTCGGATAACGGATAAAAATTTTGACTTTCACAATGTGTCCCAGAGCAGTTTGGCGGTGTTCAATTATTTAAAAGTACTAAAAATACAGAACGTAGAGTGTAGGAACTAATGTAGGCATAGTCAGAAATTCAGCTAAAATAATACAGCTATCCGCGGAACCGTCTCCTGAGGACCTGCTTCCATGCAAGTTGGTCCTTCCAGAGGCTTCATCCGACACTTCAGATTAACTTTGACTCCATGAAATACTTCTGCTTGTGAAACCAGTCTATGCTTCTGTGTTTTATGGTTTTAGGATCCGTACGACGAGCCGACCTCGAATAACAGCCTAGAATTGCCCTGTAGAGAGACGAGGGCGATTGTTGGTGGTCATACCTTCTCGGGTATTGAACACGTTTTTGCTCATCATAAGGGTAAGTCTGCTTCAAATTTGCGCACGCACTTCGTGTACACCCTTTTGTGGTCGGCTGTTGCTGTTTTACTCTCAATTGCTTCATTCGCTTCTTTCCACACGGCACTACTTTCTTTCTGCTTTGATGGTCCACAGTGGCTGTACCCACGGACGCCGCGGATTTTTGGATCAACGTGTGCTGGATACTACTTTTGCCTCAGATTACTGTGTTTGCAGCGTTTTATCTGTGTGAATTGTGCACCATTATTCTTCTTTTGGCGTATTTTCCAAGCGGTGCAAATTTGGGAGCTATTCTTTGGCTAATTCCGGAGATCTCACTGATTTGCCATACTGCCATCTCTGTCCGCCATCTTGGATTTGCTCTAGCTTGTGATGCCGTCTCGAGCTACTTGTGGTTCATGTTCGAAAGTTGTGGGAAATAAGGCTCATGCACTTCGATGCTTCAGCTGTGATGTTTTGTTCCATATTTCGTGCATTGGCTTATCCGTTGACGTGTTTCGAAAATCGCTAGACATCCGACATCGGTTTTTTCAAGTTATATGTGATAAATGTCGCGGTACAAAAAATCAGAATATGCAGCGACCGCAGACAACTACGGAAAAATCTCTCTTTCAGATAGAAACAAACCGTTCACGACGTGGGATCAAACGCCCTCGTGAAAGTACCTCTGTCACCTCGCCTTCTATTGTCTCTCCGCGATCTGCACCACCACCAGCGTCTTCGACCCCGGCCGAACCCCAGGTTCAGTGTTTCCCACCGATGGAAGACTCAGACTCAGAAGCTACGAAATGCCGCTTCACTGATCGGTCCGTGAATTTCTCAGAGCCTGTCTGTGAACTTCTGAACACCGAGGATCCATGGACCACTCAAAAGTGCAAGGGCCCACGTAATCGAGTTCAGACGTCACCTGCTGATAAACAACTACCCAATCAGTTAAGCGCCTCTAGTTCTTCTCCCACAGGTTCATCACTGATTTCGCTGAGGCGTCATAATCTCATGGTCTTCCACGTACCGGAGTCAAATGATGAAAACCCTCAGATACGTTATGATCACGATGTTGAGTTCCTCCAGGGGCTCATCGATAGACTCTTGGATGTGGGCGAGGACAGTGTGACGATTAAACAAGTAATCCGACTTGGCCAGAAAACTAACCAGTCATGTCGACCTCTGAGGATCACTTTTGCAAATCCTAATATGCCGCAGCTCATACTGTCTCGTCTGTCAAGGCTGAAAGGCATAAAAGTTCACATCCGCCGAGATTTGGAACCCGAGGACAGGGATCGTTTGAAAACTGCGGTCATTGAGCTCAAACGCCGTACAGAAGAAGGTGAGACTGACTTACAAGTTGTAAATTTTCGGGTGATCAAGAAGGGTGTACGAACCCGTATCAACCGGTTGCTCAACCTCCAGGCACGTCCCGCAGTACCTCCCAGGACCTCCGTGTCGCATTCGCCAACGTGTGTAGCCTAATGAACAAACGTGACGAACTGTGCCGCTTCGCTGTCTCGGAGCGGCCGGACATTTTAGGACTTGCAGAGACATGGCTGAACTCCGACATCATACCCCAAAAAGTCGTGTTGTCAGGATACTCTTGTTTCCGATGTGACCGAAAATCAAAGGCTCACGGTGGTGTTCTGTTGTACATAAAATCGTCACTATCTGGCAAGCTTATCAGTACCTATCGGAGCGAGGATAGTTTATGCGAGCAATTGTGGTGCACAATCCGTCTCAGGCGCGCAGAACTAATTGTGGGGGTTATCTACCGGAGCCCATTAAACCGTTGCTGCGATTGGATACCACATGTACAGAAGCACATGAGCCGCCCTCAGTTCTTACTGATGGGGGATCTAAATTTACCTAAGATAATTTGGCCAGATGTTCGACTTCTTCCTGGTCATGGCAACGTTGAGGCTCAATTCGCTGAAATGACTATTGAAATTTGGGCAACGCAACATGTCATCCAACCGACGCGCGTAACTCCGTACTCGGCATCTTGTCTGGACCTAGTGTTTACGAGCTGCGAGCAGAAGCTAAAAGAGATCAGAGTCATCGAACCTCTGGCGAACAGTGACCACTGCTCTATTGTAGCAAGCTTAGAACTGTCGTTACCATATTACAATCAACAGAAGCCGACATTCAACTATTGGAAGACGGACTTCAACGGACTCGTCCAAACCGCAAGTCAGACTGATTGGACACTACCACATGATGCGTCACTTGAGGCGTGGTGGTCATTAATAGAGGGGAAGCTTAACTCGCTCTGTACTCGGTTTGTTCCCCTTAGGTATCCAAAAATCGGACCTGTCAAACCGCATTGGTTTGATAGGGAATACAGACAGTTAGCGCGACGACGTCGTAAACTTTGGGATAGATACATCAGCTCGCGTTGTGATGAAGATTACGCGGTGTACAGGAAACAGCGTAACTTATGTAACGCCGCAAAGATCAAGAAACGCCGGCAGTTCGAAGAGGAGCTAGCATCCTCGGCCACAACTGCACCCAAAAGAATATTTGCCCACTTGAAACGTCAACTGAAACCTGGGGGCGACCTACCGGTCTTAGAGAGCTTAGACGGGAAGACACTCATTTCAAGCGCGGAGCGCGCGGACGCCCTGGCTACGCACTTCCTCACTGTATTTTCCAGTAAACCGGCGGCTGTTCCAGTACCGGCACAGGTTGCGCAAGTCTTGCTCGACAGCCTACAATGTGATGCAGTCGAAGTACATCAGCTACTCGTCAACCTCAATGGTGCAAAGCCCCCCGGGCCAGACGGACTTCACCCACTAATACTCAAGTCCCTATCGATTATCATCTCACCAGTTGTGACAAGCCTTTTCAATAGATCGCTCTCTGAAGGATCTGTCCCGAACGACTGGAAATGCTCGATAGTTAAACCGCTTCCCGTGGGTGGTGATCCGAGTAAAATAGAGAACTATAGACCGATCTGTTTGACTTCGGTATTATCCAATGTCCTCGAGAAGGTTGTGAAAAAGTGTCTGCTGTCGTTCTTCGAATCGATGGACGTATTGACGCCAGCGCAACACGGCTTTACGAAAGGGCGATCCTGCATCACCAACTTGATGTACGCAAACAACCAGTGGGTTCGAGCTCTCAATGAACAGAAGGATGTTGACGTGGTGTACATCGACTTTAGTAAGGTGTTTGACAGAGTGAACCACGAGGTACTCCTTCGTAAACTGAGGAAATACGGAATCGGTGGCACGTTACTTCAGTGGATACAAGAGTTTATTGTGGGACGAAGGTTTAGAGTACAGATCAATGACTATCTGACAGAATGGTTCCCATCGACCAGTGGCGTGCCTCAAGGAACTGTACTTGGGCCAGCATTATTTCTTATTCATATCAACGATCTTCCGCAGCAGCTCCAGTCACCATGTGTCCTGTTTGCAGATGATTTGAAAATCTGGAGGATCATTGAAAACCAGGACGACTGCGCTCGCCTCCAGCATGACTTAGAGCGACTGTCAACGTGGTCCACTGAAATGCAACTCCCTCTTAACGCAAGCAAGTCGGAGTTCATCAGTATCACCAGACGTCCAGCCACTCGATCATACACCTTGGGCGGCCAGTTGCTCCATCCCAACACATCTGTCGGAGACTTAGGAGTTCTCTCACGACATGATTTAAGATCACTAGAAAATACAGAGAAATTGTACCGTGCGGGACTTCGTATGCTCTGGGCATTACGACGCAGTTTCTCCACATGGTCCGAAGAAACCGTCCCTCGTCTATTCACCTCGCTCATTAGACCAATCCTTGAATACGGTGCCCCAGCTTACCATCCGATAACCCAATGGGAAACTGAAAAGCTGGAGAAAATACAGCATATCGCAACTAGAATGATACCAAGTCTACGAAAGCTTCCGTATGCAAAACGTTGTGAAAAGCTCGGACTCTACACACTATCCTATCGCCGAGTAAGAATTGATCTTATTATGACCCATCGAGTACTACACTTGAATCACTTCCCCATACTGCGGCCAATATTTCACCTGCGAGAACCCTGTAACACCCGAGGACATCGTTACAAACTCAGGGTCCCCAGCATGAACAAAGTATCATATCAGCTTTGTATCGAATGAAGAATCGTAAACTTATGGAATACACTACCAGAAGGATTAATAGAGGCCGATTCTGTGAAGTGTTTTAAAACCCGTATCGACGATTATTTTGGAAACCTGTGTTTTTGTGAAACGATGCACATACAGTGCCAAAAGAAGACATTGTATGTCCGGAAATAATAACGCTAGTACAAATTTCTAACCGAACACGGATAAACGATTAACGGAACAGACACAACTGCTGATAATTCACAAGTAAATTTTGATTTTTCCTAATTCGATAGAGTTGTACAGAAACCTTTCTACTTGCTCTTAAATACAGTCTCAGTCTCAGTCTCTATATCGATCACGGATTCAAGCTACAGTGGTTACTTTAGCACTAGGCTAAGGATGGCAGTTTTACCCGACCAGGCTAGAGTCGCTTCTGCTAACCTTCGTCACGTGTGGCTTCGTCGTGACCTCAGCCTCGCTCTCAAGGGACGAATTTATAATGCCTGGGTACGAAGGATTCTGATGTGCGACTGTGAGACTTGGCCCCTTCGCAAAAGCGATGTTCAGCGGCTATCTGTCTTCGATCAGCGCTGCCTGTGAAGCATTGCTGGTATTCAATGGCAGCATCACATCAGTAATGAGGACGTTCGTCTACGAGTCTTCAGATCTAACCGACTCCGCCGACCGATTGATAGCATCATATCACTGTGGAGGCTTCGCTGGGTTGGGCATGTGTTTCGCATGCCTACCCAGCGGCGAATACGACGAGCCCTGTTTGCGAGCACAGGCGTGGCTTGGTAGCGACGAAATGGATGGCAATGTAAAATTGGATCCAATGTGTTAAGGCGCATATGTTGTAGCTGGCTGTTGTTGGGCGTTCCCGACTCTCGGGTTGGGGAACAGAGGACCCCGAGCACATCTGGTTGCA